CCACGGTCGCGCGCTACGGAGCAAGGCGCGGAGACGAACAGCCGGGCAGATCCAGCACCACCAACTGTCCGGCTCCGCGACGCGCATGCGCAGGAGGGTCCGGTGTGCACAGTGGGGTTAATTGGAGGCGCAAGAGGCCGGGGACTGCACCTGTGCCCGCGAGGGGACTCATTCTCGCGAGAATGCGCGAGGTTGCTAGTTACTGTTGCCATGGGCGCGGCCGCGAAAAGGCGACGGTGTGCCGGATCCCTGGTTGAGGCATGACGCAGGCCGGAGTGTAGTGGCACGATCTTGGCTCACTGGCGCCTCGACCTCCTGGGCTCAAGCCATTCTCCTGCCTCAGCCTCCTGAGTAGGAGGGTCCACAGGCGAGCGCCACTACTTCCGGCTAGCTTACTTTTTTTTTTTTTTTTTTTTTTTGTAAAGACGGGAATCTCCCTGTTTCCCAGGCTGGTCTCGAAGTCCACGGCATAAGTGATCCGCCCTCCTGTGCCTCGCAGAGTGCGGGGATCACAGGCCTGAGCCCACCCCAGCCCCTTATGGGAATTTCATTTCAGACTGACCAGGCTTCAAGAGTGTCACTCTTAGGTCATCTCTTAAGGATGAGAATACATAGGTCCCAAGGGAGTAAGTGATTGATTCAAGATCCCACAAGTAGTGATCAATCTCTCTGATGTGAAGGTAGCCTTTTTCTCTTTAGTGAGTAATCTATGGGAGTGATACTTTGAAACCATATGAACATCCTCAACGGTCCATTGATCATTTCAGCCTGAATCAATTATTATTATGGTGGTTCAATTATTATTATGGAGTTTGAGACAAGCCTAGGCAATATGTTGAACCCCTAGAGAGATGATAATTCCAAGGGGAGAGGATGTGGAGGAGAAAAAGCTCTTCCGTAGAGGAGAAGACCAACTAATAAAGGTAGAATAGATGATAGATACAGAAAATCATCATCTTGGAACCACCATAATAATAATTGATTAGGCTGAAATGATCAATGGACCTTTGAGGATGTTCATATGGTTTCAAAGTATCACCCCCATAGATTACTCACTAAAGAGAAAAGGCTACCTTCACATCAGAGAGATTGATCAAACGGGGGATGGTAGGGACTGACATATACCCCCGGTGTGAGGCACAGAGAGGGACACAGAGATAATATTCTTGTAAAAGTGTGTAATTTGCCTCTCTTCACGACGAAACAATCAGGCAAATCCAAACTGAGAGACCTGAAAGACAACTGCCAGTCTTCAAAAATGTCAGTTTCTTGAAAGATTAAGAAAAAGGCTAGTGAACTGCTCTAGATTACAGGAAGCCAAACACGTGACACTAAAAGCAATGTGTGATCCTAAATTAGACCCTGAATAAAAACCAAACAAACAAAACCAGCTACTGAGGAGTTATTGGGACAATCGGGGAAATTTGAATAGAGAGTAGATTATCATTGCAACAATGTAAAATTTTCTGAGGGGGCCCTGGGTGCAGTGGCTCACGCCTGTAATCCTAGCATTCTGGGAGGTCGAGGGGGGCGGATCACTTGAGGTCAGGAGTTCCAAACCAGCCTAGCCAATATGGTGAAACTCCATCTCTAGTAAAAATACAGAAAATTAGCTGGGCATGGTGGTGGGTGCCTGTCATCCCAGCTACTGGGGAGGCTGAAGCAGGAGAATCACTTGAACCCAGGAGGTGGACGTTGCAGTGAGCCAAGATTGTGCCATTGCACTCCAACCTGAGTGACAGGGTGAGACTCCTTCTAAAAAATAAAAAAATCCTAAAGTTAGTGTACCTTCGTTATGCAGAAATGGCCTTGATTTTAGGAGACGCATGCTGAAGTATTTAGAAGTGAAATAACATGTATCTGCAACTAACCCTCAAATGGTCCAGAAAAAAGAAAAAACAAATATGAAAAAATGTTAACAATCGAGGTGGAACGTATGTGTGTTCATTGCACTATTCTTGAAAATTTCCACTGAGTTTTAAGTATTTTTGAAATAAAAGAAATAGGCCTGCACAAACTCTGTGATGCTCCACAGTACACAATACCAAGTTGCTGCTTGAATCAAAAATCAGATTTGCCCTCTGTGTGAAAGGTATTTGAAGTTGATAAGAGATAAGACACATGTCCCCAAGAGACTCATAATGTAAGACTTGGACAAATATCTGCTGAATGAGGCCAAATATGGTCAATGTCATAAGCAAAGTAGTATAACCTAGAAGCGGAAATAAAGTGAGCTTAGGAGTCCAAAGAGCTGAATTTGTGTCTCAGCTCTGCCAACTCTGTGGTCTTAGGCAAGCATTAACCTCTCTCTGCCTCAGTTTCCACATCTGTGAAATAGAACTAACTTAATATCTACTCAGAGGATTGTAGTGGATATTAAATAATGTATCCAGGCCGGGTGCCACGGCTCACTCCTGTAATCCTAGCAGTTTGGAAGACCGAGGCAGTGGATCGCTTGAGCCCAGGAGTTTGAGACAAGCCTAGGCAATATGTTGAACCCCATCTCTACAAAAAATACAAAAATTAACCGGGCACGGGTGGCCTGTGTCTGTAGTCCCAGCTACTTGGGAGGCTGAGCTGGGATGATCACTTGAGCCCAGGGAGGTCAAGGCTGCTGTGAGCTGTGATTGCACCACTGCACTATAGCCTGGCCGACAGAGGGAGGCACCATCTCCAGAAATAAATAATGTATCCACAGCACATAATTTACCTGGCATATGGAAAATGCTCATCAGTAAATAACATGTGAAAATAAAGGAGTTGGTTGGGCGCAGTGGCTCACGCCTGTAATCCCAGCACTTTGGGAGGCCAAGGTGGGCAGAACACGAGGCCAAGAGGTCGAGACCATTCTGGTCAACACAGTGAAACCCCATCTCTA